TGGAAAGTTAAAATACATCCATCATACCATTGACACTTCACATTTCCATTGGGCGTCTGCTATGTCTAATGAAAAAACTGACTCGGTTATTTCTCATTTATTAATCTGCTTCACAGTCATGGGGAAGCCAAAACACATTAAAACAGATAATGGCCCAGCTTATTGTTCTAAAAAATTTGCTGACTTTTTGAACCAATACAAAATCTCACATAGTAAGGTATCCATCCCTTTTAACAGTCAAGGACAAGCCATCATCGAATGTGCAAATCGCACTCTACGATCTTATTTAAAAAACAAAAAGGGGGAATACGAGGTATGAGACCTAAAGATATTCTACATAAAGTATTATATACTCTCAATTTTCTAAATTATTGGGATCAAATTGGTATGACTGCTGCAAAAAAACATTTTGCAGAAGAGCAAACAATGCTCACAGATAAAGGCTTGGCTAGCCCTCTCTGGTACAAGACACTAGATGGAGCCTGGAGAGAGGGAGAACTTCTGCATTTGGGGTTTATGTTTCCACAGGGGAAGCGTGTGAGTGGCTACCCAACCGCCGGCTAAAGTGGAGGTAATGAGCAACTCTCAGCCCGTGGATGACATGCTGTTCCATGCTTTCTCCCAAATGAGCACAAATAGTACCATTGCAGTGGGAACCCAGCAAGCCAAGCCCCCTACATGGGGTCAACTGAAGAAACTGACCCAGGAAGCCGAGAATGCGCTTCGCTGTCAGAACCAGCTGCAGACACCAACTAATCTTTTGCTGGCAATGATGGTCGTTATCACATGTCAGGTAAGTATAGCCTCAGCTATCCCCTATTCCTACTGGGCTTTCATTCCATACCCCCCTCTGATACAAGGAGTGACTTGGGGAGAAGATGAAATCCCTGTCTGTACTAATAACACTTTCATATTTCCCGTTCCTTCCTGCGGAGGATGGCTACTCATCCCTCCATTCTGCACACTGATGTTAGTAGTAGGATACCCTGCATGCATTGGTCATAATAAGTTTTGCATGAATCCTTCACATGAGGCATGGGGTCTTCGTTATAACCACTCTACCTTTGCCTCTTCTGTTATGTTGTCAGTAAAAGGATTTAAGGTGAACAAGAATCAGGCTATTACTTCTGATTTGGAAAGTTATTTAACTTTATGCCCTCTGCCACAATTAGAGCCAGGATTTCAGCATTTAGAATGGACTCCCTGCCGGGGTCATAATCCCTCTGTCCTACTAAATGACACTGATAGTGGAGTTGTTATTACTGATTGGAGTCCCCACGGACAATTTCAGGAAAAATTCTCTAAGCACAATCTATATTGGCACAAACATGGTCAGAGTCTGTTGGGCCAAGGAAATGAAACTGTAATTTGGCAGGAAAGTGGTCTTATTCCTCCCATGCCTCACCTTCAAGGTCATCCCAAAAGCCAGGGCCACATATGGAACCTTTTGGCTGTAGGAGAGCCGATCCATGCATGGATAGGTAAAATATTATTAAATCTTTCTAGTAGTAGTCCTTTTTTTTTTTTTGTCAATTTACATACTAATGGCTCCTATTGGGGTCAAGTCTGTGTACCCTACCCTTATCTATTGGTTGCTGGAGAATGGACAAGGAACAAAAGCAATGAAGAAATTCATTGTTGGAATTGCCATTTTCTCCAATGCGTTAATTTCTTGTGGTGGAATGCCTTTAATTGGACACGAGACAGCCTTTTAATCACCAGAACCAGAAAAGAACTTTGGTTGCCTGTTAATCTTACAAGACCATGGAGTGAATCTGCTGGGCTTACAGCCCTGTACAATGCTGTGGACACTATTTTAAAGCATTCGTGTCAAGTCATCGGATTGATTATAGCTGCCATTCTTGGACTTGCTGCTGTAACTGCTACTGCTACTGTTGCCAGAGTGGCTCTACATTAGGGTATCCAAACTGCAGAGTTTGTTCAGAACTGGCATTGGGATTCACATTTATTATGGCAACAACAACAAGAATTGGACTCTCAAATAGCAATGGACATTCAAAACTTAAAACAAACTGTTGAGTGGTTGGGAGATCAGATTTCTGTGCTGTCCACAAAATCTGTGTTAAAATGTGACTAAAACTTTTCCCATATTTGTGTCACTCCTTGCCTTACAATGTATCAGAGGGTTGTGATAAAATTAAGAGAACATTAATAGGTCATGCTAATCTAACTAATAAATTCTAGGTCTAGAGAAAGAAATTGAAAATACTTATAGCAACAACTTGCCTTCTCTCATGGGAGGTCATATTTTAGAAAGCTTGGCTGATGGAATAGCAAATTTAAATCCCTTTGGACAAACTAAGACTCTTATAGGCACTCCTCTTAGTAATACCATTGTTTTACTTATAAATTTGTTTATTGCTTTTCTAGTCTTCCGCCGATGGTCCCAGCAGCAAGTAGTAGATAACAACAACCAAAATATGCTGTCAACCTTACAGCATGTAGCATCTCAAATAAAATAAAAAAGGGGGAAATGTAGATTGTATGTGAGTTTATTCCACACATTAATGGACTCATGCAAGGGTTAACAAGGACATTCTGCACACAGATGCCTTGGAGTGCTGCTCAATCCTTAAGAACAATTCAGAGCCAAGTCCTGCACACAGGCTCGCTCCTCCTTGCCTGCAAACAGGAAGGATGAGATATTCTTAAGAGTAGCACTGACCTTTGAGTAGGGGAAATAGTTAGATTAGTTATCTTGATAGGAACTGGGACCATGGCAGCCCCTTTGGCTGTAAAAATAAACAGCTGCAGGACTTCGGGGCTGCAGTCTTGTCTGTCTTTGTGTGTGTTTGTGTTTTTTCTTCATTTTGCAGACCCTCACTGCAACAGTCATTATTTGCAGATGACATGATATTGTACATAGAAAACCTTAAAGACTCCATCAAAAATCTACTAGAACTAATAAATGAATTTAGCAATGTAGCAGGATACAAAATTAACATCAAGAAATCGACGGTATTCTTATACACCGAAAATGAACTCACAGAAAGAGAAACTAAAAAACAATAAAATTTACCATTGCTGCAAAAAACACTAAGATACATAGGAATAAACTTAACCAAAGAAGTAAAGGACCTATTTTTTAGAAAACTACAGGACATTGAAAAAAGAAATAGAGGAAGACATAAAAAAGTGGAAACATATACCTTGTTTATGATTGGATGAATTAACATAATTAAAATGTCCATATAACCCAAAGCAATTTATCGATGTAAATGCAATCTCCACTAAAATACCAACGACATATTCATAGAACTAGAACAAATACTCCGAAGTTTGTATGGAACCAAAAATAACCCCAAATAGCCACAGGTATCTTGAAAAAGAAGTACAAAGTACCACATATCAGATTATACTTACAAAGCTATTTTAATCAAAACAACCTGGTACTGGCACAGGAATAGGCATACAGATCAGTAGAACAGGACAGAGAACCCAGAAATTGACCCAAGACATTATGTTCAATTAATATTTGACAAAGATGGCAAGAGCATACATAGGAGAAAAGACAGCCTCTTTAATAAATGGTGTTGAGAAAATTGGACAGCTACATGCAAAAAAATGAAGCTAGACCACCAACTTATACCATACACAAGAATAAACTCAAAATGAAAAAAGACTTAAATGTGACTCATGATTCCTTAGAAATCCTAGAAGAAAATGTAGGCAACAAAATTTCAGATATCACATGCAGCAGAATTTTCACTGATACAATGCCTAAGCCAAGAGAAACAAAGGAAGTAATGAACACATGGGACCATATCAAACTAAAAGTTTCTGCACAGCAAAAGAAACAACCATCGAAATGAAAAGGGAGCCCACTATATGGAGAGCATAATTGCCAATGATACATCAGTATAAGGCCTTAATTTACAAAATTTATAGACTACTCATACAACTCAACAAAAGTAATACAAAGAATCCAATTGAAAAATGGGCAGAGGATCTAAACAGACATCTCTCCAAACAGTACATACAAATGGGCAAGAGACACGTGAAAAAATGCTCAGCGTCATTAATCATTAGACAAATGCAAATTAAAAGGACTATGAGGTATCACCTCACGTGTGCCAGAATGGCTGTCATCAACAAATCATCAAACAAGTGCTGGCAAGGGTATGAAGTGGAGACTCTGGTTCATTGCTGGTGGGATTGGAGACTTGTGCAGCCGCTATGGAAAACCACATGGTGTTTCCTCAAAAAATTAACAATTGAACTGGTATTTGACCCAGTAATCTCACTTCTAGAAATACAGTCTAAGAAGCCTGAAACAACAATTAGATAGAATATATTTACCCTATGTTCATAGCAGCACTATTTACAATTGCTAAAATCTGAAAACAGCCCAAGTGTCCATCAATAGGTGAGTGGATAAAAAAGATGTGTTGCATATACACCATGGAATACTACGCACCTGTAAGAAAGAGAGATCTCTTATCCTTTGAGACAACATGGAGGGACCTGGAAAGTATTATACTAAGCAAAATAAGCCAATCAAAGAAAGACAAATATCACATGATCTCATTTATTAGTGGAATATAATAAGGAATATAAGCTGCTAAACAAAACAGACCTAGAGACATAGAAGTAGGGTACAGACTGACATACTTGAGAGGAGGAGGGTAGTGGGGAGGGAGGAGATAAACCAAAGAATTTATATGCATGTATGAGTAACCAATGGACATAGACAACAATGCTGGGGGTAGGGGTCATGATTAGGAGAAGAGTGTCAATGGGGGAAAAAGGAGAAACATCTATAAAAAAATTAATTAATTAATAAAGTAATAAAAAAAGAAAAATCATACTTCTGTGGGGGTAGGGGGGAGAGATAAAACCATTTCATTTTCAGGCCTGCAAGGATTTACCTAAGATATTTTAATAAAAAGTAAGATGCAAAATGAGTACAATTAAAAACCATACTACAAAACTATTTTAATTATGTACTTATTTTATGTCTTTATGTATAATTTTTTTACCTTGACTGTCAAAGGGTGATAAATTGATCACTTTTGTTGGAAATTTACTTGGTGTAATACGCCTGGTAGAGATATCTTGATGGTATGAGAGCATATTTTTGTTTTTAAATAAATCCATACCTAAAAAAAATTTACAAAGAAAAATTACAAGAAGACTTTGAATATTCACACTACTCCTCCAAATCCCTGTCTTAGTTATGAATATATAGTTTTCTTCCCACATTTTTATTACTTCACTTGTTTATTACTGAAGTTTCTATAAATTATTTCATTATATTTTCTTCTTTTTCTTTATTCTGTAATCCTTTATAGTATATTATTTTTAAAAAATATCACCTTTATTGAAATATTACAAATGTTCCCAATTATTTCCCCCTTATCTCCCTCCGATCCTCTTCCTCCCCTCCCAAGCCTTCAATGCACTATTGTCTGTGTCCCTGGTCAGTTAATTTCTTCCCACCTCCCTATCCCACCTTCCCTTTGAGATTTGTCAATTTGTTCCATGTCTCTGGATCTGTTATTCATCAGTTTAATTTGTTCATTACATTACACATATGAGTGAGATCATGTGATGCTTGTCTTTCTCTGACTGGCTTATTTAACTTAGCATAATACTCTCCAGGTTTTTCGATGCTTCCTCAATGGGTAAGTGACACTTCTACCTTACAGCTGTATATTATTCCATTGTGTAAATGTACCAAGGCTTTTTTATACACTCATCTACTGATGGGTTGTTGGGCAGTTTCTAGATTTTAGGTATTGTAAATAGCTCTGCTGTAAGCATAGGGGTGCATATATTCTTTCTGATGGGTGTTTCAGGATTCTTAGAATATAATCAGAAAAGTGGGATCATTGGGTCAAATGGAAGTTTCATTTATAATTTTTTGAGAAAACTTCATACAGTTTTCCATAGTGGCTCCACCAGCCAGCATTTTCACCAGCAGTGCACTAGGGTTCCCTTTTCTGCATATCCTCTCCTGCACTTGTCCTTTGTTGATTTGTTGATGGCGGCCATTCTTGCAGGTTTGAAGTGACACATTGTTATTTTAATTTCTATCTCTTGATAATTGGTAATGATGAGCATTTGTTCATATATATCTTGGCCATCTGTGTGTTCTCTTTGGAGAAGTGTCTATTAAATCCTGTGCCCATTATATTTATGCATTGAAAATTTTTTCTTTTAAAATTGTTTTTCTTTTATTGATTTTGGAGAGAGAGGAAGGGAGAAGAAGATAAAACCATTTCATTTTCAGGCCTGCAAGGATTTACCTAAGATATTTTAATAAAAAGTAAGATGCAAAATGAGTACAATTAAAAACCATACTACAAAACTATTTTAATTATGTACTTATTTTATGTCTTTATGTATAATTTTTTTACCTTGACTGTCAAAGGGTGATAAATTGATCACTTTTGTTGGGAATTTACTTGGTGTAATACACCTGGTAGAGATATCTTGATGGTATGAGAGCATATTTTTGTTTTTAAATAAATCCATACAAACTATAACAATGAGAAAGAACTCCAACTGGTCGCCTTCCACATTTTTTTTTTAAATGTTATAGTTTATATGTTTTTTATGCAACATTTATTAACTTATTTTTGTTACAAATGTTTCTTCTTCACCCCCACCCCAGACACCCTCCTCCCAACCCTGCACTCCCAACTCCAGTATTGTCATCTATGTTCATTAGTTACACACATGTACATATAAGTTCTTTGGTTTATCTCTTCCCTTCCCCCACCCCTTCCTCTGAGGTTTGTCAGTATGATCTGTACTGCTTTCTATGTCTCTGGCTCTATGTTGTTCATTATATTCTACAAATCAGTGAGATAATGTGGTATTTGTCTTTATCTGATTAGCTTATTTCACTTAGCGTAATACTCTCCAGGTCCCTCCACATAGTATCAAAAGAAAAGAGATCTCTCTTTCTTACAGCTGCATAGTGTTCCATTGTGTATATGTACCACAGCTTCTTTTACCCACTCATCTATTGATGGACATTAGGGCTGTTGTCAGATGTTAGGAATTGTAAATAGTGCTGCCATGAACATAGGGTTAGATATATTCTTTCTGATCGGTGTTTCAGGATTCTTAGGATATATTCCTAGAAGTAGGATCACTGGGTCAAGTGACAGTTCAATTTTTAATTTTTTGAGAAAACATCATATTGTTTTTCATAGTGACTGCAGCACTCTGCATTCCCATCAGCAGTGTACTAGAGTCCCCTTTTCTCTACACCCTCATCAGCACTTGTTCTTTGATGATTTGTTGATGATAGCCATTCTAGTAAGTGTGAGGTGATATCTCATTGTTGTTTTAATTTGCATCTTTTTGATGATTAGTGATGTTGAGCATTTTTTTCATATGTTTCTTGGCCATTTGCATGTCCTGTTTGGAGAGGTATCTGTTTAGGTCCTCTGCTCATTTTTTTTTTTTTTTTTTAATCCTCACCCAAGGACATTTTTCCATTTTTTGTTCAGATAGAGTAGGAGGGAGAAAGAGGAAGAAAGAGAAAGAGAAACATCAACGTAAAGGGGACATATCGAATGGCTGCCACCTACACGAACAACCAGGGCTGGGGACAAACTGCAACCGAGGTATGCACCCTTAGCCTTAGGGGAACCAAACCCAGAACTCTCTGAACCACAGGCCAACGCTCTAACCACTGAGCAAAACTGGTCAGGGCCTCTACCCATTTTTTAATTGGTTTCTTTGTCTTCCTTTTATTGAGTTGTAAGAGTACTTTATATATTTTGGAAATTAACTCCTTATCTAATGTATGATTGGCAATTATGCTCCCCCATATAGTGGGTTCCCTTTCCATTTTGATGATTGTTTCTTTTGCTGTGCAGAAGCATTTTAGTTTGATGTAGTCCCATGTGTTTATTTTTTCCTTTGTTTCTCTTGCTTCAGGCATTGTATCAGTGAAAATTCTCCTGTGTATGATGCCTGAAATTTTGTTGCTTACATTTTCTTCTAGGTTTTCTATGGATTCACAAGTCACATTTAAGTCTTTTATCCATTTGTAGTTTGTGTATGGTATAAGTTGGTGGTCTAGTTTTATTTTTTTGCAAGTAGCTGTCCAATTTTTCCAATACCATTTATTAAAGAGGCTGTCTTGACTCCACACTATGGTCCTGCCACCTTTTCAAATATTGAGCAAAATGTCTTGGGTCAATTTTTGGGTTCTTTGTTCTGTTCCATTGATCTATATGCCTATTCTTGTGCCAGTACCACGCTGTTTTGATTACATTTGCTTTGTAATATAACCTGATGTCTGGTATTGTGATCTTTTTCAAACTTGCTGTGGCTATTCCAATTTTTTTTTTTTTTGTTCCATATAATCTTTTGAAGTATTTGTTTTAGGTTTGTGAAATATGTTGTGGGTATTTTAATTCAGACTGTATTGCATCTATAGATTGCTTTGGGTTGCATGGACAGTTTAATGATGTAAATTCTTCCAATCCATAAACAAGATATATGTTTCTTCTTTTTTATATCTTCCTCTATTATTTTTTCAACATCCTGTAGTTTTCTGAAAACAGGTCCTTTCTTTGGTTTAGTTAATTCTAGGTATCTTTTTTTTTCTTTTTTTTTGTCACAATGGTAAATGAGATTGTTTTTTAGTTTCTTTTTCTGTGAGTTCATTATTGGTGTATAAGAATGCTGTTGATTTCTTGATGCTAATTTTGTATTCTGCTACTTTGCCAAATCCATTTACTAACTCTAGTAAATTTTTGATGGAGTCTTTAGGGTTTTCTCTGTACAATATCATGTCATCTGCAAATAGAGTTTCATTCCTCCTTTCCAATTTGTAACCTTTTTATTTTTTATATTTGTCTAACTGCTGTGGCTAAGCCTTCCAGTACTATGTTAAATAAGAGTGGTGAATGTGGGCATCCCTGTCTTGTTTTTTTGTTCTTAAGGAAAATGCTTTTAGTTTTTGCCCATTGAGTAGGATGTTGGCCATAGGTTTGCCATATATAGCCTTTATTATGCCCCAGTATGATCCCTCTATTCTCACATTGCATCCCTATAATGAATCTCTCTTTGCCTTGGTGAATAATTTTTTTAATGTATTGCTGCATCCTATTTGCTAATATTTTGTTAATGATTTTAGCATATGTGTTCATCATGGATACTGGCCTGTAGTTTTCTTTCTTTGTATTGTCTTTATCTGATTTTTCAGTTAGAATTATACTGGCCATATAAAGTGAGTTTGGAAGCCTTTCTTCTTTTTGGATTATTTGGAATAGTTTGAGGAGAATGGGTGTTAAATCTTCTTTGAATGGTTGGTAAAACTCCCCTGTGAAGCCATCCAGGCCTGGGCTTTTGCTTACTGGGAGTTCCTTAATTACATCTTCAATTTTCTTACCTGTTATTGGTCTGTTCAAGGTTTCTATCTCTTCCTGCTCCAGTTTTGGGAGACTATGTGTTTCTAGAAATTTGTCCATTTTGCTTAGATTGTCGAATTTGTTGCCATATAATTGTTCATAGTAGTTGCTAACAATCTTTTGTATTTCTTTGGTGTCAGTTATTTCTCCTCTTTCATTTCTGATTTTGTGTATTTGGATTCTTTCTCTTTGTTTCTTGGTGAGTCTAGCTAAGGGTTTATCAATCTCGTTTGTCTTTTCAAAGATCCAGTTCTTTGTTTTATTGATCCTTTGAATTGTTTTTTTGGTTTCTGTGTCATATTTTGGTTTCTCTGATCTTTACTATTTCCTTTCTTCTACTTGCTCTGAGGTTTTCTTTTTGTTTGCTTTCTAGTTCTTTACGTTGTGAGGTTAGATAGTCTATTAGAAAATTTTCTTGCATGTTGAGGTAGGCCTGTAGTGCTATGAACTTCCCTCTTGGAACTGCTTTTGCTTCATCCCATAGATTTTGTGTTGTGGTGTCTTCATTTTCATTGGTTTCCAGGAAGTTTTTTATTTCTTCCTTTATCTCCTCTGTAACCCATTTGTTGTTTAGTAACATGCAATTTAGCCTTCATGTGTTCAAATGTCTTTACATCTTCTTGTTGCAATTGATTTCTAGTTGCATGCCATTGTGATCTGAGAAGATGCTTGAAATGATTTCAATCTTCTTGAACTAGTAGAGACTTAGTTGGTGCCCTATC